CGGCGTGTAGCGGCAGACCCGGTTGTCGGCAGTCGTCGCGCACACTGGGATCCCTACTGTCTCCCCCCCCCCCCATTGCTGTTGTTGGTTAAAACCCCATACTTTGCTGTATGGACCAGGGGGTGTGGAGTGGAGCGCCAAGGTGCGGGCTCGAGCGTGCCATCCACCTGCGCCCTCCCCCTCCTCCGGTCTTCTTGACTCTGTCTTGGCACCGGGTCCAGATGGGGGAGGAGGAGAGTGTGCGGTAGGTGTTGTGCAAGTGTACATTCACTATAAACTAAATCACGCACAATTCACCGTCCCTGTCCCACCTTGATGTGGAGCAAATCGTGGACATCGTCGGCAACGACGGTCGAACTCTCGCTCTGTCTCAGCTGTGTCCGCCTGCAGCCAATCACAAGGGGTATGGCAATGATTGGGTGGTACTAAGTCCCGGACCTCTCCGTCAGCGAATCGGCGAGAGCGTTAGGTGGACGGAAAGGCGTGAGTAAACTGTCTCGCCGGCGACCACGGCAGCGGACTGACACAGAAGTTTAATTTTTCGTCTTTCGGGTTTCCTTTCATTAGATATCCATTGAGGGCGGTTGTAAGGCCTTCCCTCAATGGGGACACCACGACATCTTTCATTGTCTGAACGCTGACCAAGACTAACGATCGGTTGAGTGGTTGCTTACTCGACTTCATACAATGTGAAAACAGTATGGATCGCGGGGAGCGCGCATAAATGAATCAACAACTTCCTTGCCGGCATTCTCTCATTTATTTCCATCGATCAGGCGAAATCTGTCCTTGCGGCCGTCGAGGTCGGTGTTCTACTTAGCCCATTGCTGGGATTCACTTTGATCCTGACGCAGGTGGGCGATTGTGTGAGGCACTTTAACTGCAATGCAACACCGTTTTCAGGAAATGTGAAGGTTTAGAGCAAACCGTAGGATTACCGATAAAGGTATTTTGCAGGTAGACCTAGATAGGCTGGATAAATTTTCAAATTTCTGGTTCCGTCTTTCAGTGTCGACAAATGTACTCTACTTTACCCAGACAGTCCTGGCAACTCCGCCGAAAAAAGGTCATTCTCCCGACTGGTCAGCTTTATGGGACGCACAAGCCTAAAATAATGTGGGTCTGTGGAAGTCTGGTTTCATAGAACCTTTCGCGGAGGCAATGTGACATTTTGCACGTCAGTATTGTATTCTACAGTAGGTGGACTAACCCATGAAATGTCAACCGAAATTCCGAAATGCGTTTTCGTTTCGAAAAATATATTAAGTATGGTTGTAGAACTAGTCCGCCTGCAACATAGTTATATAATATTTCAGTAACCTCAGGATGTCGGCTTTTGAATGAACTTCCTTCCGGCTGCATGCAAAAAACTACACTCTGTAAAAAACGACTAATTATGTAGCATGAGTTTTTCTCATTGATTTTCGATGCCCCTAAGAGTCCAATTATATTTCATGGAAAAAAATATATTAAAAATTCATTCTCTTGTTCACTCGGTAGGAAATTACGTCTTCTTTTAATTTTATACGCGAATGAGGGACATAATTCGGTTTTAAAA